AGGCCTTAAGCGTGGGCATTCTCATTTCGTCATATTCTCGCGAAGCCACAACTCCGCCGGCACCTGCTTCCTTACTCAGGCGAATCGTTTCACCGAGCACTTCGAAGTCCTGTGGCGAGCGCGTGAACAGTCCGCCGCTTCGGTGGGGGACATCCATGCCAATCCCAGGAAGGATATCCGCTTGGCCAGATACTTCCTCGACCAGTCGCTGTGTTTCGTGCCCAACGTATTCCGCCGGTAAGCTCGTATGGAAGAGTTGGCTTACCATGGGAAGCTTTAGCGATTGATAGCCGTTGAAAGCGAGGAACACTTCATACAGCGTGTCCTGGTCTAGCTCTGAGAACGTTCCTGCTCGCCATCGGTTGAGAAAGTGATCGACGATCCGTGGTGCCNNCGTCGTGGTAGAGGATCGGCTTAATAAAGTCACTGTAATTTGCCATCGCGAGGTAATCGGTGCCGGCACGCGTAACTGGATTGAGGGTCGTTCCCTTGCTATCAATGTGACGCCCCACTTGGGCACTCGGTTTGATGGACTTGATCGTCGTGTAAATGGATTCTGCGACTTCTTCCACCCCTATTCGCCAGAGATGTTCCCAGGCGATGACCTCGGGATACTTGATGACGATGCCAAGCAATGTATTCATCACTCCCTTACTAGGCCTCGCATTTCGTTTACCAACGGACTGAATCAGGTCATGCATCTCGGTAAAACCTTGGCGAGCACGAGAAGGATCCACTCCTTCTTCCTGGGCGCGCTTCTGGCAGTAATCACAGAAGCATCCTGGGGCGGCCCCCTGCGAGAGCAGCCCTGCCAGCGGGCCAATGCGCTCGGCGCCCCATTGATAGCCATCCAGGTCGTAATTTCGGTACAAATCACGCACCATGGCCTGACACCATGCTCGGTAATTGGGATTCTGGCGGCACGGCTGATTCGCCAGTTTGCCGAAGAGGTCTATCGATGTGACGTCATCGTAGTTCGCAATTCTCCCTTGAACGTCCAGCCGACCAGGCTCAAGCAAGCGAGCATATACTTTGATACCACGACGACGAGCAGGCTCGATGGTTTCCGCAAACACGTCTCGCCCGTAGTGTTCGGTATTCTTCGGTTGAGCTTTGAACTTCAACGTCGTTTCGGAAAACTCCTTGGGGTTGTGACGAACCCACACCGGCCACAACGAGCGGTCTTTGTCGTTTCGGGGCCGATAGCCATGGTCATCCGCCAGAACATTCGCCGTGCGTGTATAGGGAATCCCATAGTAGGTGTGACTATAAACAAATAGCGTGTTGACGGCGGCCACGTCATCGACGCGCTCCAAACAAGCATCGACCCCTTCATCGAAAATATTGAAAGGCGCAATCTGCAGCCCGATGGTGGGTCTCTGGCGAACTTCCTCCCCACGCAATAACGTCCCCGAGGCCAACATGCCCGCAGCTCCGGCTTGCATGAATCGACGCCGTGACGTGTTTTGTGTCGTTGGATGGGGTGACATATCATCTTCTCCGCAAATGCGAGCGATCTTGGTTGGTCTCACGGAAGTTCGCCAGGGAGGTGATCATCCGGGGTATCATGGTTCCCCAGA